ATCATAATAGAGGGAGACATTTTTGGTTTACAGAGAAATCAGGCACTAGGGAAATGTCTGGAGATCTACAAAGATGATACTAGCTAACTATTTCAGCAATGGAGGAGAGGCTACCTAAAATTCCCTCCCCTGATGATGAGATTGATGACTGACTTATATGCCTTCATCAGCAGCTGGTAGAAGTAGAAGCAGACACCCATAACTAATCACCGATCTGAACTGGAACCCAGATGCAGAGAAGGACCACTGAAGAGCACAGAGGTCCAGACCAGGCTGGTGAAACACACAGAAACAGCTGAACTAACATCCGGGAACTCTTGCTCTCCAGTCTGATAGCTGGAATACCAGCATGGGACTGATCCAGAACCCAGGAACATGGGTTTCTATGAGGAAACTTCAGAAATCTATGGGACCTTCTGTAGAAGCCCAGTATTTATCCCTAGCATAGGTGTGGACTTTGGGAGCCCATTCCATATAGAGGAATATTCCCTGAGCCAAGACACATGGTGGGCCTAGGCCCTATCCCAAAGGATACAAAAGACTTTGATGACACCATATGGAAGGCCTCACCATCCAGGGGGAGCAGAAAAGATACATGACAGATAAGGTTTTAATTGGGGGTTTGGGAGCCCATTCCATATAGAGGAATATTCCCTGAGCCAAGACACATGGTGGGCCTAGGCCCTATCCCAAAGGATACAAAAGACTTTGATGACACCATATGGAAGGCCTCACCATCCAGGGGGAGCAGAAAAGATACATGACAGATAAGGTTTTAATTGGGGGTGTAGGGGAGGATGGGCGGGAGAAGGGAACTGGGATTGTCATGTAAAACAATCCTGTTTCTAATTCAAATAAAAAAGTTAGAAAAAAGAAAGAAAGAAGAAATAAATTAAATCAGGAAATGAAGTAACTCAGGGTTAGATCTATAGTTCATAGTCTCACCTGAAGCAAGACAGAATCTTAAAACACGGGTATGCTTAATAACAAGATTTGTAGTTTTGTTCAGTATAAGTAAATAAAATAACTGTAAATGGAAAGTGTGGCACATCAAAAAAATTACATTATCATAAGATACACCTGCATAAAATTAAGTAGCAAATTTTGAATTAACATAACAATTTTTAAATTAGCATGTTAAATAGAAGCTTGACAGTTGCTTGCTGAATATGAATAAATGCTGGTTGTTCGTCACTCACATTGTTAATTCTGAGATTCAGTGAAGAAAACATAGTTCTACCATTTTGAGCCAAATTTAAAGCAAGCTTTATTTAAATATTAAGTAGTGACCTAGAAGGACTTTGGTTGGGACCACTCTCTAGAATTTGTCAGCCAAGTTTACCAGAAACACAAGTTACAGAGCTGTTTAAGGAAAACCCAAAAGGCCACTACCTTACTTTCCCATGTGGCTTTGTTATTATTTTCTAAGAACTGTAACACCCAGCATTCCAGGAAGTTACCTGGTCCTCAGGCAATGAGGCTTACAGGTTAACTCCCCGTACTACAATTTACGGTATTACATTATCCTGAAATCTATCCTTGCCTGACAGTCTGTGCTAGAACGGGACCCTTGACCATACCACACTACCCCTCAAATTCCCATCCCTTCAGACACAGCTGCTTGCTCTGAACTGCTCCTTGGTGTGACCAGGTCGCTATGAATTGAGGGACAAAACATCTTAACTTTGTTAGAATGCAGCTGAGTCTTGACCAGGTGTTTTAAATATTTCAGGGGAAAGATGAGATTTGGAAATATCTGA